AGTTCTTGCAATTCACCTTTTAAATGCCCTTTTCACGTCTTTCTACGAGGAGTAAACCACCCCCGCCGCAAAGACCACCGTTTCCCTACTACTCACGGCCAGCCGACCGGCGCATATGGTAAATAGGTACCTGAACGTAAGCCGAAGCATTACTGATTCAAAGTACACAGTTTTAAGTCTCATGCATTCATTCAATACACTTTTTAAAAATACTCTTTCCACTCTTACATTTGTATTTAATCCTATATATCAGGTACCACAGACTACTGTAGACTTCTTAACTGTGACTTTCGGGAGGTTACCATGCGGTGGCCGTCCCTCCTGTCCCTACATCTCTCTGCTGCCTCTCCAAAACAAGTCAGTTCCTTGGCCGTATCTCTAAGATCGTATACAGAAACATCTTCTCCACCCTGAACTCTACACAAATGGGAGGAGCAGGCAGTAAGGCCAATCTCTGTTACCTCTTTCTCACCAAAAAGCCTTTGTGCTTCATTTTGTGATGCAAAGCTTTGCAACAGCTTTCTCTAAAATTCACCCTGTTCCGTCCACCTCTTAGGATCCATTTCAACTGTAAAAGCAAGCAGAAACTGCCACTGAGAATCTCTACATAGTTGGCCAACTGGAACTTGACATTATTTGGGAAAAATGCGGCTGTGCAAGTACTTGACATATTTCTACAAATCATTTCTATTCCTTCCCTTTACCACACTTCTCCAGTACACCCACACAGTTTGTTATTCCTACCATTCCAAGTAATTTAACAATACAAAAATCATCCGGCTTAACAGCAGCGTCTGCTTTCTTAATTTCCCTCCTCACGCAGCATTTTCTCTTTGTTACAAGTTACACTGCTTTCCATTTTTAGAATTTCACGTGTAGTATTTCCTTGCACAACAACGCTTTGCCTGATAAACCCTTCTCTCCCTCTACTGCAAGGCTATCACCAGCCTTTTCCAAAGGCAAACCAACCGTGGAACAGAAGCCCCCCAAGCATGCAAAGGCTATTCCTTACTGAAGATTTAAGCCTCAAGCTCCAAGATCTCCAATGCAATAAAACCAAAACTGGGGCAGGAAGAAGAGGACCAGACAAATAACGATTCTCTACTAGCACTTCTCAATTTCACATGCACAACTTACCTGTGACAAAACAAGCTCATCACATGCGCTGTGCTCTTCAGTGTTAGTTCACTATCTGTGTCAGACAACTAGAAATAGCCAAATTTGTAACAGATTTCAAAGCACAGATAAAAGAAGCACGAAGAGTGAAAGGAAGTATTCAAATTCTTTTCTTTCTTTGAAAAAGAAGAAAATAGTTTGCTTTCAGACCAGGTGCATATATATTTGTAAAAAAACTACAGACTGTTAACAAAACTATAGACTGTGTTATGAAAACTAAGGTATATTTCCAGAAAACAATTACCATACTGGCCTAACACAAAACTGCCAACCCAAACAATCAACATTACAACTCACACATCAAAATGCCGATAAGAAAAACTTAACACTCCTTGATTTATAAAGGCACAATAAGTATTAGGCTCTTTTTACATATGTTTCAACTAGAGCCATTAAGGACCGCAGATTATTTTCACACAATAGAAGTCAATTTTTTGACAGATTTGCTCATAATAATTTCTCTCTAAAATTAAAGCATTAAGAAAGTAGAAGGTATCAGATGACTTTTTGGCAAAGCAGATAAAGGAAGTCCCAGAATAAACAAAAATATGGCACTCTAGCACCCCCATCTTGCTTCACACCAAGAGCTCAGATACAAATGTTATTCTAGCTCTGATACACTACAGACTTAAAAATTAGAGTGTTAAAACTCTGTCAAAGTACATCAGAATTAATTAGAATGAAAAAGCATCACTATTCTCCTGATACACAAACAGCAACTAGGCAAAGAGCATCAAACCCATTTAAAAAATAATCAATCACTTGTTTTATTTTTTTAAGGAAACATAACATAGCAAATGTAAAGCCTCCCTAAACTTAATCTCCACCAAAGACTCCAGATCAATACTTTTCAAAGTAACTAATAGCTAGATGAATCTGTTATTTCTTCAAACCACAAAGTTCAGTGTATTCCTAGAAAACACTCACATATACGCTACTAAGCAGTATAAACATCCCTTACCACTAGGTCCCACATGAGCTGGTTTCACTCACTTGAAGTAAAGAAGACTCCAGCTTTTCCACCGGGAAAAAGCAGAAAGAAAAGGAAAAAAAAAAAAAAATTACACAACTACCCTCAGCAGAGCGCTCCAAAAAGCTGTTTGAATGGTGCAACTAAGACACTGAAGCAGTACCAAAGGAGCACCTGGCAGAGGAGCCCTTTCCCAGCCTTATTTACTGCAGCTGTGGGTAGGAGTGTTAATTAGCCCAAAGGCTCCACAGCTTGCAGGGCTTCTCCATGGGATATGAACTGCTTCAATCGTTATTGCTAGAAATTTCCTTCTCAAGCTGCTGTCTCTATTTTGAGCAAGTGCTAATTCTGTTTGCCCACTGTAAAAAGATGGCATTTTCCTTATATAGCTGCTTAATTTAACCGCATTTTATCTGCAACATTCAGAACTATCTTTTTTAATAAACTGTAGCTCTGTTAAAAGTTGCTGCCCAATACCTGAAAATCAGTTTGAGCCCATATACCAGAAGATGGGGGGGAAAAGTAGAGATGAAGCATGACTAGAGCAGGTCATAAAAGGTCTAAAGCAAATGCAAAAAAAAAAAAAAATGTTTACCGCAGTTAAGAGAATACATTTCGCACATTTTCAAAGCAACGCTGATGAAGAGATCATGTACATCTGGTGTGTTTTCTATAGAACAGCAAAACTGCCATCCAGCAAAGGCCCTCAATTTATTGTCTAACTGAAGCTGAGGGTCCAGTTCAGCAAGTTACCAAATGCTCACTGCTGACCTCACCAGCTACCAAGGAGGCACCCGCAGTATCTTCCCAGCTGCAGAGAGACTTTTTCCCCAGTATGTAATAAATCAGCTGCTTCTCCCATTCATTTAGTGCAGAACCACCTTTCCAAAGGTTACAACACTTACATTTCAGAATGTGTTAATTGGTAATTCATAGGTAAATTTACTTGATAGCACTAATTAAAATTTAAAAAGAGAACACAGAATCTTGTGAATGTAGAATTTCAGGCCAAGCCTTTGTTCTTCAAAATAATACTATCCCTTGTGTAAACTTCTCAGGTAGTTGGAACTCACTGAAATCTTCTACAGAGATTACATTGAAGAAATCTTCAGGCTTGTCTCAGTTTTATCTGTGATTTTACGCATAAACTAAACCTACATTTTGCTATTAATAATTCTACAAAAACACTCCTGGTTAACAAATCCTGCCTACTTTTTGCTACTGCACCAGTTAGTCTAATAAATGACATTATCTGTCCTTACAGAACTTGCTTCACTGGTATCAGCTAAAACAGAATTTCTATTTTAAAAAAAGGTTACTCTTCATTTTTTTCAGTAAGGTAAATTTACTTAGCATAGGAAATCAGCACAGATTAGCTTTGCTATTATTTGTAATGACAGATGAGGTATTACTCAAAATTGTTACTAACTGAGGAGAAATAAGGAGTCACATCTATTATGACTAACAGTGACTGTTAAGCAAGACTGTGTAAAAAACTTTAATTGCTGAAGATTTTATACAACAGCCTGCTTCTGACACACATTTTCAGATATGAAAAGCGTAAGAAACATTTAGAATCCATTAAAAAAAATCCTTTCTACTTTCAAATGCTGCCTTTTGTAGCAGGTGTAATTAGAGAGATAAGGAACTCAGAGTGAAATCTATGCACATGCACATCAGAATCCTGATGTGAACAAAAAAGTTGTTTGCTGCTGCTTCTGCTGTGTAGACAGCTTAACTGGCCGCCTTTGGCTGCACTGTGCTCCTCCAGAAGTCATTCAAAGTAACTAGCCACCAACTGGCCAGCCTCACCTTTATCCTTGGGAAGGGGATGGAACAAATAATCCCAGAAACCATTTGCAAGCACATTAAGGACAAAAATGTGATTTAGAGTAGTCAGCATTGATTTATGAAAGGGAAATGATACCTGACTAACCTGACAGCCTTCTGTGATGAAATCACTAGCAAGATGGATGAGAGAAGAGCAGGTGATACTGTTTATCTTCACTTCAGCAAGGCTTTTGACACTTGCTCCCATAAGGTCCTCATTGGCAAATTGATGACTTAGGGCCTAGATAAGTG